GAATGCTTTGTTGAATTTTTTTTTCATTAAAATTTCTATTTAGCTTAGTAATAAATATATATATATATATATATATATGTATGTATATATATTCATATTTCCCAAATGCATTCTACCATAGTGCAAAAGCATATTTTTTATTATTAAATGCAGTTCAACTGCGAAAAAGTTGGTGATTTCTAATTGAAAATATTTTAAAAGTATTCAGGAAGCACACAGAAAAGCATGCCACAGCTTTTTAATACAATTTTAGTACTGAGATAAAAAATTAAATAAAACAAATAAAATTAACAAAATAAAAATAAAAACGAAAATAAAAGTTAAATAAATACCTAAATTTAAAATATAAAATATATGTAGAAAAAGAAATTAAAATAAAATTAGAATAATTCAAATTATGTTCAAATCCAAAAGAGAGTACAATAATTGGCACTCAGCTTAAAGCTGGTAGGGTGTTCAAAGTACTAATATAGGGTTATCCATTTCAATGTTTTAGAAGTACAGGACAGCATTTTAACATACATAAAATTTAACTGCCAAACAAACATGTTTACAGGCCTATTCTGTGCACTTAATAAAATCACCATCTTGCTTATTTATCAAGATTGGCAATTTATCAATATTTTACTATTTTGTGTCAAAACTAAAAAGTTTTTTCTTGATAAATTGTCAAGATGTCAAATGCTTTTGAAAAGAGTTTTTTTTACAAATAAATCATCTTTTTACTGTTTGTGCATAGTTGTGTAAAACAAATTGTTAGAAAAGAAGATACATATTGTACTTATATTGTTAAGAGAAAACACATTTCCGCCAAATTGTCGTTTGTTTTGCGAAATTTGCCGTCATATCATAGATAAATCTCACTGTCTTTAATCATAAAAGTGCTGGCGGCTTTATACTTCTTTGGGTATGGTTTATATCAAAAATGTGTAGGCAACAACTTTGAATTGTCCATGAGTTAGTCGTTTCTATCCAGAAGTTGTCTTATTGTAAAGATGAAGGGAGGAGAAATAGTGTAATATTACCCAGTTCGGCAGATTAAAAACCTAATGTTAAAAGAGGGTATGTTAATAGAAATAACAAAATCGCTTATGCTAATTTATCTCAAAAGTATTCCAGCTTCTAACGCCAGTTGAAGAGCCTTAATACTCCTAAGAACTATATTAAAATAAACTAAATGGTTCTGACAGTATACAGTGCATACGTGAAGAAGAATGGCTTACATCCAAATACAATTCTTCCCTATAGTCATAATAATAACTGATGTTAACAAAAACATATGATTTTGGTTTTCACTTCATGGTTCACCAACGTGTGGGGAAAAGCACAACAAACTGAAGCTTTATGTTCTATCAAGATTGACATAGAATACCAAATCAATTTATGTTTGATAAAAATCATGATAAATTATCAATATTTTGTTAAATTGTCAAGTGCACAGAATAGAGCTGTTAGTTTCAGTTAAAAGTCTGACATTTATAAAAATATAACGCTTAAAAACCGCTCTAAAATTATTAAGACTTTCTAAAAATGGTTATTTAAACTCCAAAAGCCAAGTTTCGTGGTTACAATTAACAGGCCTGTGAGTGAAAGTGTAGTCGAATGTGTGCATTTTTCAACGTTCTCGAGATTTCGCTACATCTTATCCTTATAAAGTCCAGCACACATAAAAACTGAAGCCTGTTGACCATTCAAAATGCCGTAAATATTTATGTCGATTAGATGCTTGAACATCAAACAGTGGGCGGAAATTTTTCAAACAAAATTTCGTCATCACCATGGCACATTTCTCACTCGGGGGATACGTAAATAAGTAAACTTCTCATATCCGAGAATCTACTCATCATTGAAGAGACGCAATCACAACAAAAAAAAACCTTTAGTGTATGGTGCGCTCTTTGGTCCCGAGGCATTATTGGGCCCTACTTCTTTGAAAACGACAACGGCGAGATTTTCAATAAAAAATTCAGAACGTTATGGTCGTATTATAAGCGACTTTTTTATATTCTGCAATTGAAGAATAAGACTTAGACAACATATGGTTTCAACACTCTGATGCCACATGTGACACAATTTCCAGGTCGCATAATTTTTCAGCTTGACGATGTCAATTGGTCACCGATATAATGGAGTTTAACACCGTTGGACCTTTTCTTTTTTCTTTGGCTACACGAAAGACATGCATGATTTTATGGCTCATATACCGCCCAGTATGCGCCATAAAGTGGTCGAAAACTGCCTCAAAGGAACGGCAGTTTGCAGAAAGGCGTGGTGTAGTCATTTGAATGTCGCAGACATAATACCATGGCTCAATCTATATCTTATATTTCCACATTCCTTCTTCTATTTTATATTCCTGTCCTGCAAAACCTTTATTACTAAAATTATTCAGACTTGAAAAATCGTTACTCTTTTGAAGTGACTCGAAATGGCTTGCCGACAAGGCTAGTGATTATGGAAACTGTAATCTCAATAAACACAACGAATGAGTCTCGAATTCAGGACGAGCTCAGTTTCCCCGAAAAAAAAACTACCGAAATGACACTTTTCAACAATAGAGCCGCAAAGTCAAATCTTTAGAATAGTCAAATTGTAGACAATTCCGGAACATTCTATATTATTTATAAAGACATTTTCAATTTGCGAAATAACCAAGACATTTGAAATACAAAATACAGTGAAACTTCCCTTAACGAGCGTCACTAAAAAGCGAGCATTTTTTCAAGTCCCTTCAACTATCTCCCATACAAATTCACCTCTGAAAAAAAAGTGAAATAAAATACAGCGTTGTCCGTCGAAAGCGACTACTTTTTTCCATCTCTCTGGTAAATTTCAAATATCATCGTTAAAAATTATTCCGCTCTCTCTACGATCCCCTCATTGAGCCATTATTTCATTTTTACCCCCATTAAAAAGTAAATGCAATACCAAAAAATTGTTTCGCGAAAACTCATTTATACGATCTCGAGTGAGAGTCGAAACAACTACAAGAAAATCAAAATAATTTTGTATTTGTGAATTTTGTTTTGTGTTTAGGCTACCAAGTTAAAAAAATATATTTTTGTGATCAAAAAAGTAAAAGCTTCATAGATAATCCTTTATCCTGAGAGCAAAAAATAACAAAAACAATGAGTTGAAAAATCGGAAAATCGGAAAATCGAAAAATCGTAAATCAAAAATCTTAAATAATAAAAAAGGAGTTTAATCGATTTTCAAATAAATTTATTAACAAAAAGAAATTCAAATTGAAACAGGCACTTTTCCAGAATTTGGAAATAGAAATGTTGTTAACATAACAGGGAGTGCGAATTTTGGCTTAACATAGAAAGGTCGGCGCGGTAATTTTCTGTATTTAAATTTATCCATCGGCATAGAGTACAACCTACCAAATCATTAAGGTATGTTCACTTAGACAATCAGCGGTTATTGCATTTTTTTCATCTATGACGAGTACCAAAGCTGTGAAAACCCCTGCGGGTTTGGGGCTAAAGAATTTATCCGCGATAAGGCATGGCTGTCATAAGAGGCGACTAAAATCCAATATTTCCCGCGACAGTCCGGTCTTCATGCCGGAACGACCTGGATTTTTATCCGGCTAGGGTTTGTCACTCCTGCAACTTTCTCCAAAAGGTACTATGGGGAATATTTTTGCGGTTACAGCAACAACAACAACAACCAAAGCTGTGAATGAATGTTTGCATGCAGCGCCGATTATAGTATTTCGGAAATAAAAACTTTCCCATATAATGTGGGATGGGACTTTTCACACTGTGGCTTTGAATTTCTCCATATCTGCACTGTCATCTTAGCTTTAGAGAATAGGTAAAATCATCCATGAACTTTATTAAAAACTGTTCTGCAATGATGGGATAGAAAATTCTCGAATCACTTACGTTTACCGGCTCGAAAAAGTTAACAGACCTTTACATTAGCCGACTTATGATATACACTAAACAACTCGCTAAATGAAAAGTGATTTTGGAGTTCAGGTCTTATGTACCTATGTGAGACCCCCTTGTTTTTAACCTCTACCTCATCTAATCTAACCTCTTGGTGTGTCACAGCTCTGGAAAATGTTGCTTAATATTTTCGGTCTGCTTTGTTATTGTTCGATTTCGTTCATTCTATAGGAAGACGATAGAGTTCTGTTTGAGATGTAGATACCAGAATGATCATGCTTTTTTGCGCTTTTTTTTGGAAAAGAACTACTATTTCAGCTTTGACATAAATTTGAAACAGGCAAATTTTCAATAAAATAGAAACAAATATAACTTTGTAAATATTTCGAAATGGAATACGAGTGGAAACTGTCATTAAAAATATCTGGAAATTAAAAATATTTAGAACTTTTCATATATAATAATTATAGGTATGTAAATAACTATTTTTTGGTTAGGTCAAATTTTATAATAAAGAAGTAGATGGCAACCCTTTATATATATTTTAGAAAGTAATAAGAAAAATATTTATGTTTCAATGATGCCAGCACGCGTTCTTAAGAATAAGAAGAAATAAAAGATATTGAAATAAATACCAATTAGCACATCAATACATACATACGTGTGTGCAGTAAAATATGTGAAAATGAGAATAATTCGAAACAGGAATGATTTTCTATATTCGTATAATAGTTGCCCTATTCATGCATACATATTTAGTATAAAGTTCAAAGTTCAACTTTTAAGTAGTTTTGCACAATTCACTAATTGTAGAAAAATCAACGTTTTGCATTTTTGTAATGGAATTAAATCATTAAAACAAATTAAATATGCATATGCAAGAGATACACGCATATAATTACACTCACACACACATACAAGCACACACACACGCACGCACAGACGCACTTTTACATAGTACTCTTGCTCATGCACAGCAAAAAAAGGAAAAACTTAAACAAATAACAACAAAAACTACATAGTTCAAACATGTAAAAAGCAATACAAACAAAACTATTTTCTTTTTTCAAATCTCAAACGAAATTATCCTCCCTCACTCAGGCTGTAAACACAAATACACGTAACAGAAGTCTTGGTCGTTTGAGAAGGCAGCCGCCCCGTCATGGTATTGGTAAGTTATCAAAACCCGTAAAGAATTCAATTATACTACTATTTGTTGGTTACTTTCTTTCCTTTCAAATCTTTTTTTCCATACTTACATACTTACATACTTTGTTTATGCGAAAATAGCTGAATTGAATTAAAAAAAAAAAAACAAAAAAAAAATATAAAAATAATAAATAAAAAAATACTCTAATTAACAAATTAAAATATTTACCGTTATGTATAAATATATTCCTAGGTTACTAAAATCACTATTTAGTTATATGAATAATCACAATTAAAGTTGCATAAAAAAGTAATAAAATACATTTTTAACTATTTTCATACACACACACCTTCTTTAAAATAAAATAATCTAAACTGTTCATCGTATAATATTTACATAGCAGATTATTAACTTCACTTCATTCTTATTAAAATGTATATGAAACAAACATAATACTTCTCACTTTCATCTTCATCGAAATCTGTACTCAAAACATTTTATATTCTGCACACACACAACATACACAGACACACAGACACTATATTTCCCCATTTCCTTTTTGTAGCATTATCTAAAGAATTTTACTTTACCATTCGTCAGAATTTTGTTTTGAATATTTTCTCATGTTGTCATAGTTAGTGAGATACTTTTCACAAAAACAAAAAAAAAAATGCTTTGAGCAAATCAGCAATAATTAGTAAAGTAGTTAGTCCCCCACCCCATTTTATCCATTTGCATGTTGCAGCAAGCATGAAAATATTGTAATGATATAATTGTTTCGTATTTTAGAAATAGTCTAACATAAATTTTGTATTTATTTAAGTAGTGCTGGTTGCAACATGCATATCTGTCGCAAGTCCTACGAAAGCCTTGTTATTCATAAATATGCTTTTTAATTATATATGATTATATATGTATGTTGTGCAAATGATTTTGAAATTTATGAAAATTCTTGGATTGAAAATGTAAAATAATATAAAATTGAAAAAATTAAATAAATATCAAAATACAAATAATAATAAATAGAACTTAAACTTAATGAGGTTACTGAACTTAAAAAACAAAAAATCAAAAAATACACAATAAAAAAAGCCAAAATAAGGTGAAATTAAAGCAAATAAATGAAATAAAAAAATCAGTAAATGTAAAAAAATTTATAAAAAATATCATCAAATAAAATAAAATTTTAAAAAATAAAGAAAAACTAATCAAAAGAAACATGAAAATTATATTAAATTTTATATATTAAAGAAATAAAAGAAGAGAAAACAAAAAATAATTTCTAAACAATTTAGATTCATTACATGAAATATTTAAAAATAAATGAAGAAGCAAGTAAAAAAAACTACTTTAATGTCGAATATTTAATTCACTTAAGTAAAAGAAAGAAAAAAATAGGAAAAACATAAGTAACAAAATATAAAAAAGAGAAACCCCAATTTAAGCAAAGTAAAAATATAAAAAAAATATGATAAAATATATTATAATATAAACATATTAAATTGAAGAAAAAAATTGGAAAAAATAAGTTAAAAAATTAAATAAATAAAAAGTCATGAAATAAAAGAAAAATTTAACAAAACTAAAAATTAAATTAATTTATATGATATAATTGATTAATTAAACCTCATTTTTAAAAATTAAAATAAAATAATAATAAGTAAATATAAAACTGAAATTAAACAAATTTCCTTATATAAGAAAGTCGAATTTATTTAAATAGAATTGACGGAAAGTAAGAAAAATTTAATTAATTTACAACAAAAAACTTGTTAACATAATTTATAATAAAAACATATTAAATTAGAGAAAAAAATTTGGACATACATCTAAGCTAAAAGATAAGATAAGAAATAAAAATAAGGGATAATAAAAATTAAACCTGATAAATTAGTTAAATTCAAATAAAAAATATTAATTAAGCTAAAAAAATTAAACTAATTTAAATGATTACAAAGAATAAATATACTAAAATAAAAAATACAAAAAACATAATTATTATTATTATTAGTATTGTTTTATAATAAAAATATTAACAAAATAGAAATTAAATATCAAAATTAAGATAAAACCAGAGAATATAGTATAAAAAAAATTCAAATATAATGGAGTTTAAAAGAATTGAATTAATTAAATGAAACACCTATTTAGTAAAAACTAAAAATAAATGGCATAAGTAATAAAAAAATAAACATTTAAAAAGTGAATTACATTAAATAAAATAAAGAATATATTCAATTCAAAATACTAAAATGGAATAAATAAATAAAATAAAACAAAAATATTGAGTAATAAAAACAACCCCAAAGAAAAAAATGAGAAATCAAATAAGAGTAAATAAAATATTTTAATGTAATCAAATTAATTTAAATAATGAAATGAAAATTAGTAAAATCGAAAATAAAATACATAGCATTAAAATAAAAATAAAAACAAAAAATACAAAAAAAAAATTAGCAATAAAATAATCTAAATTTAAAATTAAAATACATAAAGTATAAATAAATAAAAATAAAAAGTAAGATCATATAAGAAAATAAGAAAAAAGCAAGGGGAAATAAATATATAAATATAATATAAATATTAATAGTTCTAAGCAAATTAAATGAATGAAATAAAATAGAGAAATTATAAGTAAAAAAAAAAATTATTTAACATAATAAACAAATAAAAAATATGTTACAATGAAAATATAATATTAAAAGAAATAAAATTAATTTAATTCAAAATTAATACTAAAAAATAATATAAAATAAGATATAGAAATAACAAATATTTTAATGTAATAAGAAAAAGAAAAAAATGCCGAACGCATTGTCATTGTATTGTCACAATGATGATATGTGCTACAACCAGGCCACTAAAATACTTTCCTCTAGGAAAAGAACCGCCTTCACATTACCTCAGAGTGGCATTCCATTTTTATGCGCTTTATTGGCATCGTTTTTGAAAGAATCGGTGATCGGACAGCAAATGTAAATTGATGATTCTATCTCGATCTCTCAGTAGTAGTACGCCAATATTACCCCGAAAGCTACCTTGCCATATAATCCTTTGAGAATCTCCTAATAGCTCTGCTATGTAGAGTGAAATGTCGATAGTTTTCGACTTCAAAAACTTTATCTTTACCTTATATGGTAGTCATAAGTCCTGAGCAATGTGTAGAATTTCCAGTCAGAAACTGGGTTTAGCAGGTAAGGGAGGAGAATAAAACTCTGCGCTGACCCTGAAGAAATTTTCCCGTTGCTACAACTGTTCTTAATGTGGCACCTCACTTTCAAATTCAGATACGTACATAAGTTTGTCGAATCTTTATATTGAAACTTCAATCATGACCTTCCATTGGGCACATTTGAAATTAGTTCAGACGTCTTGTGAGAGACCTCCAACTGGTGATAGCTGCATCAAGTCTCGGCTAAAGCAATCTTTCTAGAAGTTTTCCAGCAGTGTCAAGAATACCAAGGGGTGGTATGCTGCTGGATTTCCCCTCCCTTTTCCTGGGTACCAATATTGAGACAAGAATTAAACATATCCAGAAATATATTAGGACATTTCAAAACGATGATTTTATACCCCTCTACGGTGCTTTGCTTCGATTCTAAATAAAATAAAATAAAATAAAATAAAATAAAATAAAATAAAATAAAATAAAATAAAATAAAATAAAATAAAATAAAATAAAATAAAATAAAATAAAATAAAATAAATGAAAATAAATAAAATAAAACGAAATAAAATAAAAGCAAACAAAATAAAATAAATTTGGTTAAAAAATATAAAACAATAAGTAAAATAAATAAATTAAATAGAAAAAATAATTAAATAATTGATAAAAATTTTATATTTGCGGTTGTTTTAAAACGAAATAAAATAAAATAAAGGTTTTTAAAATGAAATAAATCCTAGAATTTCAACTCTTTTAATTTTGTATTCGAATATACATTTGAATGTATGTTTGCATTAATTCAGTTTGATTACTGTTATAAAGTAATATCTTCAAAGCAGATGAAATTTCGTTGCCTGCAGGCTTTTCATGTAATAATTATTGAGTTAACAAATATTTAATATAAATATAAAATTTCGACGAAATCCATCATTCTGAATTTTTTTTTTAATTTTCATGCAAACCAACATACATACATACAAATGTATATAGTATGCCCATACATATATATTTTCTATATCCCTAACTCAGTATTTAATTGTTTAGAAACCTCCAAGCTAGTCTCTAAACTGTTAGCTAAAGTTTCCGCTACTTAAGACAACTATCTCTATTGATGAAAATTGCATCTAGACACATACAAATAAATTAACAAAACTTTTCTCTTCTTTTAATATTTCACCACAAATAGTAACTCAGCACCGTTCGAATAGTCCAGCACAACACTCCAGTTCCGGTTCATCGCCGGTGATGTCAAATAGTAGTTCTAGTCCAGCGCCTCCTTCCAGCAGTCCTAGTCCGCAGGAGAGCCCCAAGAATTGTAGTTACATTTATCGTGATTGATTGATATGTAACACCAAATCGATGCCATTAATCAAATCAACAACAACAGCAGCAGCAACAACAACTTCAACTACAGCAACAGCAATAGCAGGAGCAGCAACAGCTAACAATGGAGCAACACAAGTGTCAACAGCGACGGCAGCAGCAATGACAGCCGCAACAACAGCCACGCGCACCACTTCCGGCAAAGTGCGCACTACACTCACTAAATCCGTACCAGCCACACCAGTACAACCGAAATCACCAACCACACACTTCATATCAACATCGCCCGAATGCGGCGGCGGTGGTGGCTTAACAACCCCAGCAGCGGCGGCAACTGGTGAGGAGGATGACAATGACGAGCAGGAGGAGCATTATAATAACTGCAGTGAATATCTACCACATTCATATCCCAACTTCACATTCGATCTCTCCGATGACGACTCCAATGAGTTCGACGAGGAGCTGGAATTGGACGACTCTTCGCTGGCGATGATAACACCACCACCGCCATACGTCGATACACCGCTGCAATTTGTGCGCACACATGGACCGCCGCTACCGCCATACGCACAACGCACGCGACGCGCCGCAACAGCACCACCACCGCCCACACGTAAGAAACTCTTTCAAAATCGCGAAATATTCAATATCAACACACCAACAACGACGCATACGCCCAGCAGCAGCAGCTTCGCAAGCGCCATTACGCCGACAAAGTTAAGCGCAGCCGCAGCGGCCATGTTTGCCGCACCACAAATGGCACAGCTCAATAAGAAATGGACGCAACTGCATCGGAAGCGACGGCGACGGAATAGTAGCTCTGGCGACTCGAAAGAGTTGGATAAATTGGTGTTGCAATCGGTTGATTGGGATGAGAATGATATCTACTGAGTGAGAGGAATGGTGTGAAATTATTGAAATTCAAAGTGAATAAAGGCTGCTGCGAGAAGAGGCTGCTTCGGGCGAGCTGTGGCCGCTTGCTAGCTGGCTTGGAAAATTAGTGAAGCGGAAAAACAATTTTCATATACATATACGAGTATACACTTTGCGTTTCTTGGCTTAAACGTAGGCATAGTTTTTCCATTCGAAATACATATACAAATGCATACACATATAATATTAGTAATATACATAATACATACTCTAGCTATATACTCGATAATTTAAATGCATACATACATATAGTAAAAACAGCAACAAAGTAAATAGTAGTAATAATAAGCGCGTGCGTTTAGGTAAGAGGAGGCAGAAGAAAAAGAGCGCTGGAAAATTCTGCAAAAGTTAATCATTTAGATATCGTAGCTGCATTAGACTTTGTATTAAGAAAGGGGTAAAACCATTTTTGAAGATATTTAACGAATGAAAGATTAGTGAAGGAAAGAAAAAGACAAATCGAACCTTTCTTTTAGTGCGCACATACATACAAACAGTACATATGTATTTATTTTAATTACGTAATTTTACACATTCACACTGAAAGGACACCTACACAGTCGATCTACCAAAGTATGCGGTGTTCCAGTTTCATAAGTAATATTTAAAAAAATATATTTTTTAATTTTTAAAATATATTTTGAATTTATTAATTCGATTAAATATGTAGTAAATATTTGTGAAAACCAATTTATGTATTATATTGTACATAAATATGTGTATATATTAGACTTTCATTTAGTCATGTCTAAACATTTAGTATTACTCATATAAGCAAAACTAAATTTGATTTGGAAAGCTCAACTTGGTAGTTTTTACCCAAAAAATTTCTTAAAAACAGTTTATTCTATTTTATTTGATTTTTTTACTTCCTAATATATTTATGTAACTGCAAATAATGCAACAAATTAATATTAAATTGTGTTATATTTTTTATTTATATTTAAATTAATTTATTTTTCAATTAATTTTTGTATATTTTATTTTTTTTTATTTTTTATCTTTGACTTTTCAGTTTATTTATGTAATTATAAATAATGCAACAAATTAATAAAAAAAATTATTTATATTTATATATATTTAATTCAATGTTTTCCCAATAATGTATTTTATTATATAATTTATTTTTATTTATTTATGTTACTATAAATAATGCAAACCTCAATATACAATTTTCTTATGTTTAGTAAGAAATCTGCTTTGTGATGCCTTGCCTGGCAAGTTCATCCGCCTTTCAGTTTCCCTCGAGATGCCCATGATCTGGGATCCATGTGTAAGATAGTCTACTCAGTTTTGCCATCTCCACCAGAACAGCATTTTGAAGTTTAGTGTAAGCGTTGCCCTTAAAACTATCGAGGACAGTTTCTGCTGTCTCCTTTATAGCAGCATAGCACTGCAATGATCCGATAGTATGGAAGAGATGTCCATAGGTGAGAACACACCTCTGCCGAATTCACTCTGGCCGGTAATTATGATTCCATTCGTCTGTGCTTCCAACGACAAGTATACCTTCAAGAACCTCTTTGAATTTTGCTTATAAGATTAACATAAAAGACTGTGAGTCTTGCTACTAATATGTAGATACAACAGTAAATTATAGGACCTAAGCTATTGCCAATAGCTCTTTTGCATAGATAAAAATTTATTAGCCAGTACATACAACGAAATTGTGTTTCAAGTATTTCTCTGCTGGCGAAGATTCATGCTCTCCATGTTAGTGGTCACTCCAAATGTATGTATGTAGCTGAGATGCATTAGTGGCTTGAGATTTTATTTGCGGACATATGAAGGTCACATCCCTCTCTACCTTCAAGAGTTTTATCTTTTAGATTCAGGAATTTCAGATTTTTTCCAGAAATTATTTAATTTAAATTTAGTTTTATTTTATTTTATTTTATTTTATTTTATTTTATTTAATTTTATTTTATTTTATTTTATTTTATTTTATTTTATTTTATTTTATTTTATTTTCTTTTCTTTTCAAATATTTTTCTCTTATTACTGAGCCACAAAAAGCCTTAGTATTTTTTAATTCTAGGCCGCTAAAACGCTCAGGAAAAGCTTAAATGCTTTTTTTAACCATTTAAATGTTTCAGTATTTGTTTTATAAATTGTCTAACTATTTCCAACAAAAAACCATGCGAACTGAGCACATCAGGACTCAATTGATCGAGCTTAACTTTTTTTTGCATGGCAAATGATTAAGCCGCCCAAAGAGTTACTCAAGGCCTTGAAATTAAATTCAATTTTTCGGGTGAATTAAAACCCAAAATGATTGTTTATGAAATTTTGAAAACCTACGAATATGACTTTATTAAATAAAGTATTCCATAATAATTATATACATATATTTTTTAAGCTTAAATTGAAAACCAGTACAGAGTGAGTTTTTTAATTGGATATTGCGAATCACTTGTGTTCCACTTGAATTTGTAAAAAAAATGCTTGCTTTACATTCTAAATTTATATAAACTTAATTTTAATTCTAATTTTAACTGTTATTTTTATATTTCAATGATGTATTTTCTGTACTTTATAATAAATTTTTTAATTTATGCTTATTTTTCTGCGCTATTGTTGAGTATTAAGCTGATAAATTTGCTTGAAAGGAAGTTTATAAGATTTTTTTGTACAATTGTAAAAAGATTAATTAGTTTATTATTATTTTAGCCAATTAATGATTTTTCCTTACTTCTGTATTATGTTTCAAAACGCTTTCTTTGTGAATTTTTGTATCAACGCTTATTGTTAGTTTAAATTTAGTTTTTTTTTTTATTATTAAACTTCGTAGTGCAATTTATAATTTAAGTACCTTTTTTATAAGAATTTAGTTTTTATTTTAATACAAATACGAAGTTAAGTATGCCAAAAAATGAAGAAAGTAAAAACACCGAAATAAAATAAATATAAGAACTGATACAAGTACCAAAAGAAGAGAATTTAATTTCATTATTCCACTTTAGATTTTCATATATTTATTTACCTTTCTTTATTGAAACATATTTTTGATTTATTTTCTAGGTACGGTTTCGCAAATTTTAAATATGTTTTCCCCCTATTTGAAGATTTTCCAAGAACATGTTGTTCATATACATATATTCTTTATGCTAGTAATTTCCTAATTGAGGAAACCTCATTGCAAAGGAGATCCTAACATTCAACGACGGAAAATGGCTGTCATATTCATATTTAGTCATTATAGAGAAAATAATGCCAGTGACTTCATTCCCAAATAATGAGCTCTAAAATTGTCTATTTACATTTTCAAAAGTGAGAGAAAAATTTTCAGGAACATAAGAATAAAGTTCCTTTTTGCGGGAATTTGTGTTCAAATTCAGTATAAAAATTAAAAAAGAGCTGAACCTTTTGTTTTGTATTGAAATTCTCACGCAGACTTTGACATAAAAAATTTTTGTGCAGGCCAAATGTTCCTTAAATGGATGCAGCCAAAGCGGAGAATTGATAACACAAATATATTTGAAGTAGAAACAGATGGCAAAGTTGATCTTTAGCCCTATGGACAGTTTGGTATTTACAAAACACTTTTCTGTACGCCTGCTTTTTTTCACATTATAAAATTGCTCTTCGAAGCCTTTAAAAGAAAGTAAGTACGAGTACAGCACATTAAGTTACTTTACCAATCACAAAAGTAATATATTTATGCCAGACTTTCAAAATAATAAAAAATTTTCTCAAAATGCTTTTAATATTAATATAATAAAAATTAACAACATCAATTAAAAAAAATTGAATAAGAAACTATATGCCCGTGTTTTATTTCATTTTAATTCACTCGCTCTTTCAAGTAATTTAGTTTTATTATTTTTATTTTTTTATTTTTTTGCTTCACTTTATTTCAAATCTCCAGTTTATTTTAATGTAGAAAAAAGCAAGTAAAATTGGAAAAAATAAAATGAAATAAAATAAAAATAAAAAAAGCTAAAATAAAACTAAATTAGACTTTGGAAAATCTAGTAAAATAAAATAAAATAAAACACTGGAAATTAAATAAGTAAAAAATGTACAATAAAAAGTCAAATGAAATAAAATATAAAAAGAATAAAATGAAATAGTAAATTGAAATAAAAAAGCAAAAAACAATAAATATAAATAATATTAAAATAAGGCATGAAAATTTAGTAAATGCCATTGGATTTCTGCGCAGCATCACACGTGACTTATGGCATTGGGCAAATTTTTTCTAACCCTTTGCTCAATTTTGTACTTTCGACATTCTCCCCCACCCATGAAGACATAATAAAAAAACGAAATAAGATAAAGAAAAAAAAGTAAAAAAATTTGGTATTGAAAACGAAACTTTTAACTACAGAAATTTATTATTTTTTTTATTTTTTCCACACATAATTTTTACTTTTAAAATTTTATTATTTTTTAACATTCTTTTTTTGTTGCTAATACTAACAAATAAAAATGATTACCCACAAAAATAGAGAAAATATCTTCAATCTAAGATCAGCTAGTTTTAGAAATGAAACATTTATTTCGAAATAAGCTGACAACATTTTATTTCGCCCAATATTTCCACGCTGTTAATTCTCCTCCCTACGTAACTGGCATGCTTTAATATTGCCAAAGAGTATGTGTGTTTGTATATAAAACGATTTTCAGAATAAAAAAGCTCTTTAGACCAGTGAAAGCTTTCTGTAGTCATGGCATTTTGTGCATAAAAATATATAATTATTTAAAAGCACTAACAACGATATTTCTTAAGCACAAAAGACACGATAAAATTTTATTTATAAAACATCAATTGCATTTATTTACTGTAATTTAGCATTCAAAATAAATATGCATAAAAAAGCGCATTGCCTACAGGCGATACACGAACACTGCCAACAATAAATATTTTTATATTCATACATATTTTAGTACATATCATAATTATGTGCAACAAATATTTTTTACCTTTAGAACAGCGCTTCCCCAGCTTCCCCAGTCAATGCAACACAGAGGCAATTCAACGAAATTAAATAGACTGAAGAAAACCTTGGGATTTTTTTCATAGAAATTTTGGAAATTTCCTTAAGTGAATTGCAATAGATAGACTTCATAATTTGTTTGTTAGAATATTTTTTATATTTTAATTTTTCCGCAATTTTATTAATGCATTTATTATTATTTTTTTTTTCTTTCTTTTTAACAAAAGGAATACCGCAAATCCACACTGAAGAACTAAAAATTTTATATATAACAAATACAATAAATTACAATTACAAAATAGTAAAAAAAATAAATTCAAATATTCTATTTTGTATTATTAAAATTAAACACAAATATTAACAACATTATGTATGTATGTACGCATGTATTTGATATTGATTTCAAATGGGAAAAAATTAATATTTAATTATATTAAATGGAAAATAAATAAATTAGCATAGCATAGCATAGCAATGCAGCAACAACAAATCTCATTACTTTTTAGAGGCAACTTTAAACTTTATGCTAAACTGTAAGCAAGTAAACGCTAAAACACAACAACAGCAACAACAAAAATAACAAACAACCAGTTACGAGCCATGCAAACTTGCATTTTCTTATTAAATACATAAAAAATACATTTAAAATTAAAAAAAGCAACAAATCACAAAAAAAAATTAACTGATACAGTGAATAAT